GAGATGTTCTTTCTTTGTCTTTATGGATTACTGTATGTAGTGAATTACGCTCCATCAGTGTCAACAAATAATTCAACTGTCACACAAGTTTCTGTGTTTGGGTGTGAGAATGTTTCCCGTTTCCTGACCACACTAAATAATAAATGGACGACTTTCTCTTGTGTATTTTCTCCCGATTACAAAAAAAAGAGGATTTAACACATCTGAAAGCAGCAAAAAGAAGCTACTCTCATTGTTGGTCATTTCTTATTCAGATTATAACACAGAGAGGAAGGTCAAATTTGTTCTGAAGTGGAAGAAAGTTTTTTAAATATACACCTTTTCTGTATTTGCATATACAAAGAACAAAGTGAGTGTCTGAATACTTCCTGTACTTCCACACACTTCTCAAAGTATTCAGGACACAAGTATAAATAAATAATGTAGAAATAATTAATTTAATTAATTAATTGAAAATAAATACTTTGGGTAATGAAGAAGGTTTTTTCTGTATTTCTAAATAAATGTCTACATAAATAAATAAATGTGGAAATGTAAGAAGAAATATAAAATGTGTACACAAATAAATGTATACATAAGTAAGGAAACAAAGACATACCTATTTATTTATTTACACTTGTGTCATTGGTTTCCAGCATCTAAAATAAATATTTACCGTTTTTTCTGACATTTTATAGACCAAATGATGAATTCATTGATTGAAAATGGATCAATCGATGATAAAATTCAGCATTAAATTAATCACATCTTTACTCTTTAGACCCAGAAGCTGACCCAGCCCTCCGCTCTCATGTTGAAACCTGACCAGTCTGTCCAGTTTCAACTCCTCAGCTCACCAGTTCAGTCTCATTCTCCCACCCCAGACGACCCGCGGACCAATCAGCCGCAGGGTTTCTAAACCAGCTTCTCAGGTGTGAAACCGGCCTGCAGCCTGAATGTGAAGACGCTGATGTCTCACGTGTTTCAGAGAGGTCGAGGCCGTGAAGGTTTCACCCACAGCTCTGAAAACCAGTTCTGTCTTTGAAGTAGGGGTGGGGGGGGGGGATCGATACACGAACGTCAAGTATCGATCTGTTATTATATAAATTGTACATGAGAATTTTCCTTTTTGGTGCTAAAATAAATTCCTTTTTCAGTGCACTAGAAGAGTTTTCCTTTGGGGGACACAATTTGAACTTGGAAAAAAGTAATAAATTGCAATATATCGCAATATGTTTAAAACTCTGGTGATTCCCACCCCTACTTTGAAGCCCCGAGCCTGACCAATCAGAGAGCTTCAAACTGACAGAAGACGGTCGGACTTAAACGTGTTAAAATGGAAGAAATAAAAAAGCCACGGCCGAAAGGTTTATGTAAATTAATTAATCTCTGGTTTCAGTTTCTCAGATGTAAACTAAAAATCTTTGGGGGTTTGGGCTGTTGGTCCAACAAAATAAAACTTTTTAAGAACAATAATGCAAATGTATTAAAGTACCTATAATCAGGGTTCCTGAGTGCAACCAAATCACAAATCTTTTGAGTTAGACAAATTTTTTCTTGGTTGCATCGGTGCAACTAACATTTCGCAGGACATTATTTTGCAGGCCGCATCTTTATCTGTTTCCTACCAACACATTCTCACTCTTAGCGACAACAAATGTGCAACTTTCAAAATGTAGACTTTCAAAATAAAACGCTAGCGTTTCGAATCGCCATTTTGAAACGGCACGTTATTAAAATTGTGAAACGTTGCAACTTGGTTGGGTTTAGGCAACAAAACTACTTAGTTATGGTTAGGAAGAGATCATGGTTTGGGTTAAAATAACAACTACGTACGTCAGTTAACACGTAAGATAACGAACGTCACTCACGCAATTTACGTAACTCATGTAAGTTCAATTAAAATATTTAATGTTGTTTTTTTTGTTTCACACGGGACACGAACACCGGTCTCCTGGTTCAAAGTCCGGGTTCTGTGTCGCTCTGCAGTTACACCACCAAACCGCCACTGTGTTGACTTCTGTGAGCCGCTATACTAACTTGAATGCGGGTAAAATAATAATCTTGCGGCTCTTCTAGACTTTCCAAATGCAAATACATCGGTTCCCATCTTACAGATACCAGATCCAGCTATTTAAGACAAAATTGGGCCGATTGGTTCATCCCTAATGTTAATTTGTGTTTTTGACTTGTTTATGCTGAAAACAATTAGAAGAACATCAGCTACTGCAGCTTGAAGCGCAGACGTCACCGAATCTTTTCTGTGTTCTTGCTCTTTTTTAAAATCAGCAAACAGTAAAAACATTCAGGTAGAATCAGTTTTAATTGCACAGACCGTCGCAACGTTAACAACATATCAACATCAAAGATTTTTTTATGGTCATAAAAACCAGCAGCTTTATAAATGTGTGGGAACAAACCGACAGCTTCAATGTGCAGAAGCTCCTCAGAGACAAACTGATTATTAACTGAGATGTGTTGCGTAACGCTGATGTGCAGTGTCCAAATTCTCACACTAACACACACACCAACACAATGAGCTGGTGATAATGCACCCTTTGTGAGAGTTTAACAAGAAGGAAGTGCTGGATTATTCATGAATGTGCAGATAAAAGTAACAGTGGTCGTCTTCATTACTTGATAAACGTGTGTTTTCTGCTGAACTCCATGTTATCACTTCACGCTCTGCAGCGTTTCAGAATTTCCTCCAACAGACTAGAAAAACTAAAGCTGAACATCTGCTGAGTGTTTGTTCTTCACAACTCTGCAGGACGAAGGAGCTGAAAATAAACCGGAAACACTTCCATCCATCACACCGTTACACAACAGCTGAGAGACGGAGAGCTTCTGCAGACGTTACTGAGACGATGGAGACGAAACCAGAGCTGAAAGATTTCCCTTTAGACACAAGTTAATGTCACTTCATCCAATATAAAGCCTTAAATCAAATTTATTTACGGTTATCAATACAGTTTAACCAACAGGCTAGCCTGTTCATCTCATCTTAGCAAGCAACAAAGCATTCACTCCGATCTACCACGTCTTGTTTCTTCAAAGATATTTTACATCAACATGTTTTATAATCTTTACAACAAAAAATCACTTCCTTTTTTTATTTAATTTGTTTTTAAATATGTTAGGCTTTTTTTTATTTAATAATTGTTTCACTACTTCTTTTATTTTTTTCTAAAATTCTTTATATTAAACATTTTTACAACATAGTTGTAGTTTTAAGATTTACAAAAAATATTTTACAATTTTTTTGTTTTTTTCCTTATTTTAAGTCTTTAAATTGTTTCAGGATTTCTAAAATGCTTTATGTTAAAACATTTTACAATATAGTTTATATATATATAAAGTGTTTAAGGGTTTATTAACTAACTAATTAACATACTTTTTTATTTGTATGAGTCTTAAATGCTTCATACTAATAATAATAGTAATAAAAAAAATATAACAGTATATTTACAATTTTAACATTCTATATAATAATTTGGGGGTTTCAAAAAATATCCAATAAATATTTTTTAATTTCAATAAAAATTCTAATATTTAATATTTTACCTTTAAAAATATATATATATCCTATTGTTGCTTTTTAAATTTGTGTTTCTGGAAAAATACAATTCACAGACCCAATGAAACGTGGACACAAACACACCCTGCAGCCGCTAACAGCAGCAATCACTGTACACACACACACACAAAGGCATACAACATTCCTGCATATGTACACGCATGCATGCACACCCACTTCACCCGTAATAAGCAGGCTGCGTTTCTGAAAGAGGACGGCAGCGATTATGTAACCACACACACACACACACACTCACTCTGAGGCTGCAGGAACAGTCTGCATGATATAAAGAATAAACCTGCAGGAAACAGGCTGAACGTGGACTCGTTTCAGCTCTGAATCTCAATCAGAGACAATATTTCCTCACAGGAACAGAGAGCAGAGCGCCTGAACTGGAGCCGAGACGCCGAGGACGAGTCCTAAAATGTCAAAATCAATCAGCTCCCCTCATTTCTCCCGCAGCAGCACTCTTTGCACGAGACACGTCTTCAGCCTTCCAAATGTGAAATCTACGGCTGCAACTAACAATTATCCTCATTATCAGTCAATCTGCTGACTGTCAGGGTTTATTGGAGATGTAAAATCCAGACGCTGGAGAAACTGACACCAGAGAGCGATTAATCAAACTACTTGCCGATTGATTTTCTGTCTAGCGACTAATCGACTGATCTTTTTACCCCAGATGAAATTGCCGCTCTAAGATTTTGACTTTTCAGTAAGAAAGTAAAACAGTTTTGGTTTTTAGGATTTCTATTTTTAGTTTCCAAAACCAGAAACACAAGCAAAACCTTAAAGAATGGATTAAACAGTGTTTGTAAAATGCTAATGTTAGCATGTCCAGCTCACATCATTAGGTCACTACAATATATGTTGGAGTTACAGGTTACGTAACAAGGACTGAAGCATCCACTGTGTTGACAGAAACAGTAATTTTACCTCTCTGGTCTACCAAACTAACCAATCGAGGCAGCGGGAGACCAGTGCTGCTTTTATCAGTGGAGCCTGGCGGCTTTAACCAGAGCGATACAGCGACGGTTTCTGGTTAAACAAAAAGGATCTTACTCTTTAATAAAAGGTCTCTCTCTGCAGGGATCCTTTCAGTAGTGCTGTCAGACACTGGTAAAAGCAGTCTGAGCCTGTCAGCGGCAAAAACAAGAACTTTAGTGGACGAACTTTGAAGGGAAACAAGAATTGTAGCCCTGTTGGACTGATGTTTCCCAAAATGTTTCACCGTTAAAGTTTCCCTTCAACGATTTGTCCACATTCAGAAATACGCAGAACATCACCAGACGTATCCTCTATTCCAAAACAGGCAGACTATTTACCAACATCAGCATCATGAGCTTCATACGGCACCAACAGATCCTGCAGGAGTCTCATCTTTTGACCTCAACTGGCGGCCATGTTGCAGAAACACAAACAGAAAAGCTCTGCGTCTTCTTACCTGTGCAGTGTGTGTGACGTTTTCCCGCCACGCAGTCCAGCACAGCGAGGGTCAGGTTGTCCGGTGTGTCGGGAGGAAGAGGCGTCCCTCCTCCTCCTCCTCCTCCTCCTCCTCCTCCCCCGCTGCTGGTCTCTGTGATCAGGCTCGCCTCGGAGCTCTGCTCGTCGCTGGACAGAGACGGACTGCGCACGTCTCCTCCTCCAGAACCGGAGCCGTTAGCGCTGCTGGGCACCGTCACCAGACCGGTCCCTGCGGCTGAGGGCCAGGAGGGGGGGTCCTCGCTGTCGGGGCTGCAGGGGGTCAAAGGTCAAACAGGTAAAATTTCTCTACATGTTTAGTGTTATTATTAATTTATCGGTTAATCGAGAAAATGGTTATTAGTTAGCTCCATGTTGCTGATCATATTTATTTGTTGGTCAGCGATGCTTTATGGGAAATGTAGTAGCATTTATTCATACTGAAGGACTAAAAGTCTGGATTTCTCCACCTCTGCTGCCCTGACTTCATTAAACTCTGACTCTTTATAGATACTAAACTACAGGAGTCTCCCTTTGTTACAAGCCTGAAACTGGCAAACTGGTAAATCTGGACCACAAAGCTGGATCCGTGGATGGATTACCAACAGGGCCCTGTAACGGTTCACTTGTTATCCAGCAGTGGGCTGCGTCTAGAAAGCAACAAACCAACATTTAAAAGAGTTTGGAAATACTGCCTCGTCCTTTAAAGAGACATGTGTGGATCACAGAATAGGGAAATAAACGCTGCAGCCTACTGCTGGACAACAACAATAAAACTTTCCCCTCAGGTTTCTGTATGAAACAGTAAACGCCCTCTCTTCACAGTTCACGTTCCTAAATATATCTGTATGTTTCACAGAGTTTCCAGAACACGGGGCCAACCGGGGGCCACGGTGCTCACGTTTGCCCCTGGCCCCCCTTACAGGTTAGTCCGGCCGTGTCCAGGTTCCCTCTTCATTTAAACCCCCCTCCACGGGTCTCACCTGAACACCTCCCTGGCCTGGCCGCTCTCCGGTGACGTCTCCCTGAAGAAGGGTACGACCCGGGACAGGCTGGCCCTCCGGCGGGACGCACCGGTGCCCCCGCTGGCCTTGTCCGCCACCCCGCCAACAAAGCCCCCGGCCCGGGTCAGCGCCGTGGTCTGCTTCTTCAGGAACTTCTCCAGCGGTTTCATCCCCGCCGGCATGGTGGGACGCTGGGTGGAGGTGGTGGTTGGGGGGGTGCAGATACGCTGGTGCGTGGATTTAAAGGATGGGGATGCAGAGGTGAGGGGGGAGGGGGGGGCGGTGGCTCCTACATCACGGAGCCCCCTCAGCTCGGGGTGCGCAGGTGTGAACAGGTGTGACGGACCCTCCGAGGCTCTGAAGGCTGCTCTGCAAGAACAACCCGATGTTTAACCCATTTGTGGAGGCGCAGGTGGATGCGTGGGTGGCGGAGGTGGGCGCTAGTGTCCCGTCTCTCTCGGATATCACCGCACCGCGATATTAACCCCTTTAACACAAGAACACTCCCAGGAACCTGCTCCGTGTGGCCCCCGGCCGCTCCTCCGCTCCGGGACCGAGCGCTCGGTCTGAAGGCGGAAAACCCGGAGATACGAACCCCAAACGGAGCTCTTGCCGTCCCCCCCGGTGCCTCTGCAGCTCTCCGGTGTCTCCTCAGTGAAGCGTACCGGGACAGCGGCGGATTCCTCCGTGAGATCTCGGGGATAAACGGCGGATGAATGATCGACGTTAGGAGGGTTTGTTTTTTCTTTCACCTCATCGCACACCTGAAGCAGGAAAAACCCGCACGGCCCGGTGCGTTTGGGTGTTGTAGGTTTTCTCAGCAGCAGCAGCAGCAGCAGCGGCGGTGTTTTCCTTTTTTCAGGTCAGATACTGCAGAGTCCTCCTGCCTCACGGTCCCCCATCGGCTCACCAACACACTGCCAGGCTCTCTCCACCTCTCTCTCTCCTCCCTTTCTGCTAAATTAGTGGAATGAGAAGTGACTCGTAACATTCACACTCCTCCCTCTCCTCCCTCCCTCCCTCCAGCTCTGATCTGCTGCAGTTGCGCGCTCCCGACACACGGACGGGACGGGCGCGCGCATGCACATTTATACTTCCAGTGCTGTAAAATTGATGTAAATGGAAATATCCCTGACTACAGGGATCAGTAATATTCATCAGTAACTCTGCACATTTACAGATTCTGCTCCGAGACGGAAACACCGCGAGATTTCATCAAATCACAGAAAACACTGATCACTGGAGCAGGAGGAAATAATTAGATCCTCTATCAAGGATCATTACCTATTCAGTACCACAGAGTAACTCCAGGAGTTCAGCATTACCTGAGTAAAAGTACACAAGTATTATCAGCAAAAATGTATTTTAAGTATAAAAAAGTAGGTTAATTATTCAAAATGGCGCCTTTCACATATAAGATAGACTTTATTGATCCCACACTGGGGAAATTCACTTGTTACAGCAGCTCCAGATAAAACACAACAAACAGAAAAATACACATTAAATACAAAAAAATATAGTATATCGGAACAATAGAAATAGAGAATAAGACTTATAGAGACACTTTATACAGATGTGATTGAACATTGCACAGGTTGCAGTAGCAGGTGGAGGCTCGATGTACACAAACACATTTACACACATTTAAATAGCCTATTCAGCTTTATTCCTACGATCCGATGGCTGTACGAAGGGTGTGTTTCTGTACGTGAAGAACAAAAGTTTCGACCACACAAAGAGACAAATTTAAGAAATCTCTGGTGTGAGAAGCTGGAAGCTCAGCATCACAATCTGTAGACAGGAGTAGAAGCTTAGTATCAGCTGAACATACTGACAAACCAGTTTGAACCTGTTCAGTCGGGCCCCTGAACAGACCACAGAGGGCCCACAGGAAAACGGGGTCCCAAAATATTTAGAGGCTAACTGCACTGTGGTGGTTCAGCAATGATCTCTGGTCACTTCTGCTTTTCTGGACTGGAAAACTAATTTGAAATCAAAGAGCGTTCTCCCCCAGACTAAACTGGAGTTTTAATCATTTACTTGTTCTTCTTTTGGGGCCAAAACTATTTCAAATGTAAGTAAAACTTACTGTTTTTATCTGGTAAAAAATACATTATTTAAAACATCAATATAACAGGTGAGTGTACGAAGACATACCAGGCCAAAACATTACATTTCAACCTGTTCTCACTCCCAAGACGCATGGTCAAGACCCCTTAGCGTCACTTTGTAACACCCTGGGAAGCCTCTTAGCTTCATATTTTAACACTTAAGGTGTATAATATGTAACAGTGACGTCCGAGTAAGGAGGTGGATGGGGTGGACGGCCAGAAACTGGACATTCAACCAGGAGACCTGCGTTTGTTTCCTGTGTGAAACAAAAATTTAATAGTGATTTTTTGTTTTATTCGTAACGTAGATTACGTAAGTAGCGTTACTTAAGAGAGTAACTTATTTTCAGCCAAACCATGATCTCCTTTAAACCTAACCAAGTCAGATGCTTCATGTTTCACCACGTTAACTAGCAGTTTTATTTTGAAAGTCTAACCTGACGATGTCTATTTATTCTTGCTAACTTGACTGCGGAGCCCTACATGTCAAAAATGACAAAGGGTACCCATGGCGACGCCAAGGGGTCTTGACCAAGCGTCCATGTGATGAGTCGGGATGTTTTGGTTTTTCATGTGAATGCATCACTGGGGCCCGAGCCCCTGAGCCCATCACTGATCACGTGACCACCGATTCATTCTGTCGTGGAGACCATCAGCGTGTTATCAGTCAGGTCTCTGATTCACCATCACAAATCATTACAGGTTATTTTTAGAAAGATCAATTATGAGTCATTGAGTTTGAGGAATTATTACCAGTGGACAGAATACACTGACCTGAAGCCGGCCGTGGAGCTGGAGAGTGAGGACATTTTGTTAAAACAAGGACATTTCATTAAATTTGGACATTTTGCTAAATTAAGCAAATGTTGTAAAATTCAAAATATTTTGTCAAAGTGAGGACATTTTGTTAAATGTTTTGACAATTTGCGAAATTCAGAACATTTAGCTAAATTCAGAACATTTAGCTAAATTCAGCAAATGTTGTAAAATTCAGGACATTTTGTCAAAGTGAGGACATTTTGTTAAATTTCTTGACAATTTGCCAAATTCAGAACATTTTGCCAAAGTGAGCAAATTTTGCTAAATTATGAACATTTTGCTAATTTCATGATATGTCAAATTCAAAACTTTGCTAAATTCAGCACAATTTGCGAAATTCAGAACATTTAGCTAAATTCAGAACATTTAGCTAAATTCAGAACATTTAGCTAAATTCAGCAAATGTTGTAAAATTCAGGACATTTTGTCAAAGTGAGGACATTTTGTTAAATTTCTTGACAATTTGCCAAATTCAGAACATTTAGCTAAAGTGAGGACATTTTGCTAAATTATAAACATTTTGCTAATTTCATATTATGTCAAATTCAGCACGTTTTGCTAAAGTGAGGACATTTTGCTAAATTATAAACATTTTGCTAATTTCATGATATTATGTCAAATTCAGAACATTTAGCTAAATTCAGCAAATGTTGTAAAATTCAGGACATTTTGTCAAAGTGAGGACATTTTGTTAAATTTCTTGACAATTTGCCAAATTCAGAACATTTTGCTAAAGTGAGGACATTTTGCTAAATTATAAACATTTAGCTAATTTCATGATATTATGTCAAATTCAGAACATTTAGCTAAATTCAGCACATTTTGCTAAATTCAGCAAATGTTGTAAAATTCAGGACATTTTGTCAAAGTGAGGACATTTTGTTAAATTTCTTGACAATTTGCCAAATTCACAATATTTTTGCTAAATTTGTGATATTTTGTTAAATTTCTTGAAATTTGCTAAATTCAGCAAATGTTGTAAAATTCTGGATATTTTGTAAAAGTGAGGGCATCTTGCTAAATTCAGCAAATGTTGTTGAATTCAGGACATTTTGTCCGGTCTTCAGTTGTTTGAGGGTTTAGGGTTTGTGTTACATTCAGGTTTTGTTCAGGGATCAGGGAATTGGATAATGTCAGTTCTGGTTCTCACAAGTATAGAAACAACTAGGTGTATGATTGCATGTCAAAATCAACATGCACACATCTGCTGATTATTCATCCCAAATAGAATCACATGACCCTTCATTGATCTGTGTGTAGAAGATGTGTCTCATTACATTGTGTGTTGTAACATGATCGTGTTTTGTCACAGTTTCATAGCCACAACAATCAGCTGGAAAACAAACTGTAACTTGAGACACAAACTGACTCCACTAATTATCCTCCTCCCCCTCCTCCTGCTGTATGCATGACCACCTCCTCCTGGAGGAGCAGGTTGCAAGATGTTACTGTAAACCGACACCACCTCCATCTTCTGACTGAAAGCAGGGAGGAGAGGACGCACATTCACGACATGCCTAACCCTTAAATGTGATGATATACTTTGTGGAGACCTGTGTTTTTAATACCCCAAAGGGAGGCCAGTCCCCACGATGTCTGTAAACAGACTCGTGTTCCCAAAACATGATTAACACACACCCAGCAGATCCACATGGCAGCTGATTTAATGAAAAACTCCTGTTGTTTGATTTTACAACACACGATAAGCTCATTAAATACGATGCCTTGTTATAGATAAAAGGCCTCACAGATGTTTTACAGTCATGATGCAGATTGGACCAATCAGGATGAAGCTGTGAAGCTCTGCAGGAGTTCACCTGAGGTCATTCATTATTTTTTATTCTCCTCATCGCTGCACACAGATCTGATGCTTTCACGTCTTTGGTTTAAGACAGACAGCAGGAAAGCTGTTTCTATGGATATTTTTATTCTGTTCCTACCAGTGTGGATAAGAGCACATCTTCAGACATTTACTTTCACCTCCACACAGCAGACTGTCAGAACGTTTCTTCTTCCACCACTGTGTTAAACACCAAACATGTCAGAGGAACAACTCTGGATTATGTTAGGCTGCTGCAGGACAAACGTTTCTGAAACATTTCCAGGGTTGTGGAAATCAGCGTGAAGCAGCTTAAGGAAGCCCGAAACTCAGGAAGGAGGCGAGACGGTAAAGAAACAACCCGGGTCAGACTGTTCATCAGTGTCTCAGTGTAACTGTGTGTCCACCAACGCATCAGTGAACATGTGTGTAACAGGCCCGGGGTGGACTCAGCGTGTGACATCAGCCGGACGACAGAATGGGAGCGCTCTTCTGCACACGCTCAGTGGCTCCAGTGACGGACAGACACATGACTCAGTATGGGAAACACACACACGTTTGTTCCTCTATCCCTGCGGGGACATCTCACTGACATAATGCATCTCCAACCATCACGACTGCCTGCAGTTTCTACCGGCGGGGACAGTTCATGACTCCCCGTCGGTTAAAGGCCCCACCAGGATATAAAAACATGAAACGCAAAGTCCCCAAGACCCGACTTACGGATCTTTCACGTGATGAACTTGTGAAAGATGTTTGTAAATCAGTTGTTTTTATTACAATAATTTTACGTACATCAGCTCTTATATCCCTTATTTTAATCATTATGTGATAAAAGTTATAGAGAGTTATTTTTCTGAGGACTAATGAATGAATGTACTGGCTCACTTTTATTATTTTATAATACCCGTACTGTGGATGTATCAACGTCTCCGTTACGTAATAACAAGCTATCGGTTAGTAGCGCGACATAAGCTGAATTTAACGTACTTGTAAGCGGTCCACTATTTACAAACAGGCGGGGCGACGGCTTAGGGTACAACCCTTATTATACACCCATTTGGCTTATTTTATAAATCTGAAAATTAAATGTCGCCTGCTTAAAGTTTCAGTAGGTAACTTTTATAAAAATAACCTTTTGGCATATGAGACAGATAATCAGGTTCCTCTGGCTCCTCCTACTGATGCAAAGTACAAGCAGCATGAGGAAGACGTGGGA